TAATATCCCCTAAGGCCATGCCGGCTATAAACAGAAACTCTTGTCGCTGACGGTTTTTTCGTTTCAATAGAATTACAGCTACAAGCCCAATGTCTAAGATAGCGAACATGAAACCTTTGAAAAACAGAAAATTAATTTTTGATTCATAAAAGATCCTTACTGAGTACGTTGTATATCAGAAGACGTGTTATGACTGACATATCTGAATAGAAACAACTAAACAACTGATTAGAATAAACAGAAAGTATATAAAAGACGAAAACTATTTTGCTTTTTTGGTCAAAAATGCAAGATAACTACAATCTTTATTGAATGCTATGAGTTTAATGATGTAACGACAGAGGTAGAGAGGGAAAGAGATAGAGGGACATCTTATAATTATTATAATTTAATATAGTACGTAGCTTAATTATATGGATGCTCACATTGGTTGGAGTGAGCTTCGAATATCATAATTGGATGCAACCAAGAAAGGAAGTATGACTGAAAAAATGCTTGAAACACATGAACAACTATCTCTTTCTCTATCTCTTTCTTAGAAGCTTTTTGGTATTGTTGGGTTCAACAATCAATATCTCTCTCTTTCTCTCTTTATAATCTCTTTACATATATATATATACATATATTTGATATAGTTAAGAAAACGATTATTACTAGCATACTACAACTTCCGTATCGAAACTGATTACATTCAAAAGAACTTTCTTTCATTTCGCCCTCATCTGTTCTCTGGCTGGCATGTCGAATGGATATTAATCACCTTTTCATGAGTATGAGACGAAATATAATTTGAAAGAAAAGAAAAGCAACCGCACTCGAGTCTTTGTTTGACGTAAAATGAATTTTAAAACTCACGTAAAGACGTGGGATGTACTGTCAATGGCTATGCTAATTCTATCATCTACTTACTCATAGTTGACTCCATGAATATCATACTATGAAAGGTTGAATAGTTATAACAGATAACGAGAAAGTTAACAACACCCTGAAAACGAAGAGTAAAGATTTCAATAGAGAGAGAAAGAGGGTGGAAGAGAGAGAGAGAGAGGGAGTATTACTCTTGAAATCAAAACTAAATTAGCGAGATTATCCAAAGTTCCTGTGCCAGCAAAATAACGATTAATATCAGCAAATACAAAAACAATCGAATTAACTATTACTAGATATCCTCAAATATTCATTTGATTGGTATTGTTTCGAAGCTGCGAGGGTGTACCTGAGAGGAAAACTCCTTTGCGGATATGAACAAGGTTGTCGGCATTTTTGAAACGCGGGTTATTCTCATTGGCTGCCTAGGAGATAAAGCAATGAAATGAAATAAAAAATGAGAAAAGTACTTTTCGTATATAAATCATACAAAATGAAACAATGATAAAGCTGATAATCAGTAGAACCCAACGAATTACTTTGATCTTCGTATAGAGATCTTCTCCGAGAACATCTCTTCTTGAACACATCACATCCATCATGATTTCTACATGCCGAACTCTCACAGTTAAGACTGTCTCAATCACTACAGTGACAGTTGGTAGGATAAGTAAAGCTCAAACACATGAATCTAGCTTCCTGGATTGAATGTGTCCTTACCTAATGCCGAGTACAATATGAGTTTATATGATTTTTGGATGAGAAAAAGTTGTGGGAAGATAAGAACGATGGTCGAACAAAGAGACGCCACAAATAGAGACCAAACAACAGTCCAAACTCCAAAAACTTGTAGTATGACGATACCATCAAGAGCACATTCCATATGAGTTATCTCAATCACTTCTTCAATTTGCATTTTGTTTTTTCTATTTATTAATAAACTGTTTACCATTCACAGTTATCTGATAGTAATTCATTCGACGAAAGTAGTAAAGTAAGCCGGTGAAACAGAAACAGAAATCGGAAAAACAGAAAGGCAGCATGAGGATCAAATCAACTTTCACATCGTGGACACGACGGAATATCATGCGTAGAGCTAAGCAGGTAACTATGCTAATGACGAAAGCATCTGAAACAAACGTATAAATAGATAGAGAGGGAGTGAAGAGTGAATATGAGGAGTTACCTAGGCATATGAAGACCAAGAGGTATGTCACGTAGGACATTCAGCTTCACTGATTTTCTTGAAATGATTTTCAAAAATTTAGCAATGAGCAAATGGTCTAAGCGAATAATCTGTGAGACTTTGAAATAGAATTGAAAGCTGCAAGCATTTGGATGACATAAAACCGCCGAATTCAAATATCTAAAATGACATATAGAAAAGGGATACTTAATTCAAAACGTAATCAAGTTCACATTCATACAAAATGATTTATTAGAAGATTTATAAGTATGAAAGAAAAGTTTTTTTCTTTTAAAAGTTAAATACAACTATATACACTAATTAATTACTTTATTCATCGTTTAACTTGAATCTCTCTCTCTCTCTTTCTCTCTCTCTCTCTCTCTCTCTCTCTCTCTCTCTCTCTCTCTCTCTCTTTTCTACATGTTCGTATCATGTGTTCCACGTCAATCTGCTAGATAG